ACCTGCTCTATAGGTTTGACACCAAGAGCCAACAGATCTATCTGCAGCTGCCGACAGGAGGAAAGAATGAATTCGGATATCACTACAGTCAAGTATAGGGGAATTTAGCGTGGAACTTTAAAATTATCGATATGTCAAGGAAATATGTTTTTGAGAACGATCATTTGGTAGATTTTATATCTGCATTTTCATTTGAATTTCATGACCCGTTAAATGTACCGATTTCGCTGTTACCTTTAATTTGTGTTTTGCAGTTTGTGATGTTTTTCTGGATATAAGCAGGACATAATTGCCTAAGGTGCTATCAGAGCTTTTTACAAAATCTTATCTTTGCGCAAGAATTGTGGTGGGTTGAAATGCTTACTATTTGTGCTCAACTTCTTGATATTTTATAAAGATCCTAGTGAATAAAATCGAAAAAGTGGACCGTTAGCACCCTGTGGACTTTGTTTTTAGTACGCTGCAAGAGTTTCATTTGGAAATAATAAAAAATGAAACGTAAGCTGTGAAGTGCAAATCGGTTTTTGGGCGAAATTCGTCTATAGTCAACGCCAAACAGAGTGGCGTGCACGTCATCAAGGTGGGTGTGTTGAAAAATTTACATTGTTGCCAAACTTTTTGTAAAATAATAAAATTTATTATTTACATATCTAGGTTTATAAGCAATATTAACCTCAAATGAGAACAAAAATAATAGTATAATAAAATTATAGATCTGTACTTGCATAATCATTAAGTATGACAATTATTGATCAGATGACACTATGAAACTACCATATTTAATTGATAGCTTAAAGGTACTGAATAAAAATCCAAATGGGGTCCTCCAAATCTTATGCATGGTATTTATTTTACAGAATTCATACAGAAAAATGCATTCTAAAATTAGGTAAGCTACTGGTGTAAGCTTTTTCTGTACAATAAAGTTAGTCGGAGTTCAGCGCTGTCTGAATCTGAATCTTCATCACTCTCAAAGTTGATTATTAAAGGTTCGATGTCTGGTCGATCAAAAATTCGTTCTCTTTCATACCATTTAAAAATTTCTTGCTCAGTATGTCGAACACTATTTTTCCACATGTCTGGGGTAACCGTTTGTAGAGCCTCGTTCCACATATCCAAACAGTCTTTTTCACTGTTACCATCTCTACCAATATGTCTGTTATAGTAACCTTTTGCTATGCCCCAAATTAACTCAATAGGGTTAAATATACAATGGTAAGGAGGCAGACGAAGAACTTTGTGCCCATGTTGTTCCGCCAATTCATCAATCACGTATATTTTAGGTGGTTTGTTTTTAAAAAAGCAGTTATTTTAAGAATAGGAATAAACAAAAGAAATATAAACTGTCGACCAAAATATATATAATTAAGAAGCATTATGTACCGAGCAACAATACTCAATAGCTCTGTTTTAAACATTGTGTTTAAAAATTGTATGTTTTGATTTGTCAACCAGTCTTGGATATTTTTTTTTGTCCATGCATTGTTGGGCACTTTCTTCAATATCATGCTGTGATAAGGGGCGTTATCCAGTATAATCATAGATGGACTCTCCAATTTTTCTAATAACTGATGTTGAAACCATTTCAAAAAATTGTCCTGGTTCATCTCTCCATGGTAATCGCTCAATTTTGTTTTCGAAGAAAATATCGCTTCACTATCCTCAATAAACCCATTTTCATTTCCAGCATGTAATATAATGTATCTAAAATATATTAGTTTTAAATTTTATAGTGCAAATTGTGTAAAAGTACATACCTTTTACCATCTGTTTTAATAGCTTTCACGCTTTTTTGGTTTCCATTTTGCCAAGAGCGACCTATGGTCCCATTTTGAAATATCCAAGTTTCATCGAGGAAGACAAACTGGTATAAGGCCTCAACCTTGGCTTGATTGTATTGCCTTAGAGATTCCACCCTTTTCAAAGCTATACTTGGTAGTTCCATGAGCCCTCGTCGCGGATTGTCCTTAAGCCACTTAAATCCAAGATCTCTAAGCAACCGCCTTAAAGACGTGGCACTACTATCAAATAATGCCCTATCTCTTAATCGAGACCATAAAGTTTGTATCGTAACTTGTTCTTCTGAAACCATGTGTAATATGACATTATAATTTAGTTAACAAATTAATGCAAATTTCTGATAAGTTATTATAATAAGATCTTACTTTTGTGATACATATTATAGATCACTTCTCGAATGGCACTTGTATCCAATGTCGCTGTGTTGGTTACACGTTTAATATAACTCCGCTTTTTCTTGGGCGATTCTAAATTTGCATCACTTTTCACACCCTCGGAAATACGACTAACTGTCCTTAAACTAATTTTTAAAGCAGCAGCAACACGCTACAAAAAATGAAATAAAATTTCACTATTAAAAATATACATTACATATAATTATTAGTAACCTACCTCTTGAACAGCATTTAAAGGCAACAAAGGCCCGTTGTTGTCCCTTTCTTGCTCAAAGTAGTGCATTAACGAGGCCACGAGTTCCTTACACCGACTATTTAACTGTTTGGGCATCTTTATATACCAAAATTGCCTTTATCTACTCGTAAAATGAATAATTTTGTTTTGAAACAAACAGTTGTTGATTTACAGTATGCGGGGCCAAAGGATTTATAAAGATTTGAAATGCCACAAATTGATTCAGTGTCAAAATTAATACAAATGTCAGTTCCCAGTTTAAATAAGTTTCAAGGTGACAATGTGTCAACGCTGCGAAATCGGTTTAGTGCGTTTACATGTCGATAAGTGATTGGAGCGTTTGCAAAACATTTTATTTCGCATAATGCGTCTAAATTTATCAGAAAGCAACTTATGTGATATTTTAATAACAATGTTTATATGACTATTAACCATAATAAGAGAGTAATGACCATTTTACAATTTATATATCACATTAATATGAAACTGCAATAGAGCAATTGTTTGTGATAGAAACCTAGGCATTAGGTCGGGGAATTTTTATCATGATGACGTACACGCCACTTTGTTTGGCGTTGACTATACTGTTTCGTCCTGCCAGTCCAAGCGACGCGACGGTGCGTTCCCAGTAAGAAAAAAATAATGTATTCAAATAATTTGATATCTTTCCTAAAATAAATTCAAGAACTCGAATTAAAATTCGTTTACTCATGTCGGTAAGCACAATTATGTTTACAAGGGTCATGTGGTACATGGTAACAATTGAATGAGGGTCATAAAAATATCTTATGCCGTCAAAATAATAGGAAACAGTTAGGTAGTTTTTGCAAAGCAATAAACAGGTAGGCTTATAACTGGATTAAGTACATTTCTTGTCTACTGTAATAGGTAGATGGAGGCGATGCCGCCAGAAATGGATGTGTGCGATCAATAAACAAACCACAAGACTGAACTGACGTGTCAAATGACTTTTGTATTGCCTTGTTTATTGCCTTACTAGAAAACTCTGTTGGGTATATGATGGAGTTTACTAGAACTTCACAGCTCGTTGTCTGCCTTCTTCTACAAACTTCACCAATTCGTGACGCTGTCAACCTTATCCTCCGATGAAGGCTCGACAAAGTACAGTCCTGTAATTTGGTGACTTGTTCGATCTGCAAAATCTCGTCGTCACTTTTTTTAAGTTTCTCTAAAAATTTTCGCTTAGCAACCTCCAAATCAATGTAGTTAATGTCAGGTTTTTGATTGAATTCGCCATAAAACTATTCATTTTCTTTGGAATTACTATCCGAATTGTTAGTTATTTTTATATCAGCTTTTTTTGGTCTGAGTTTCTTTTCAAGATTCTTGCGTTTGAGTCTTTGTTCCATCTTAGCGATAAGCGAGGTTGGACTAAGCTTATAACGCAAATGTATTTAGACCACATATGCAGGCCTTTTTTGTATTGTGGCTCACTACAGCTGCAGCACATCTTCCATGGTATGACCTCTTCTTGCAATAATTTATTCGCTTACCCCAATGTATTTTGCGATTATAAGAGTTGAACTGCTCCACACTATTGTTGACCTCATCAAGAATTACTGCATTCGTAATTAAAATGATCGCACATGACCCTTTATTGTCCATTATCAGCCTTGATAAAAAAAAGGCACTCAAGAACAATCACACCAATAACAATTCAACAACACAATATCGACGAACGGTAACAAGGGAAGAAAAATACTAAATGATCACTTGCTGAGTACCAAAATAAGAAACGATTTACATTCTAGATCGCTAATCGAAATCCGACTCCTCCAGTCATCCTTTCCTCTTTTAAAGTAGCGCCGATGACCGTCTAGGGCCAGCCTACCCTCGTTTCCTTTTCACCCCCTCATTATCCCAGTAGATGGTGCTCGTGATTGTAGGAGCCCCGTTAAGGATCGATGACAACGCAATAATTTAATAACAGTTGCCTATTATCTTTATGAGTAAAATTCTGCAAAAAGCAGATATGTTAATAAAAAGTCATGGATCTCAAATGCCGCTTTACGAATACTGAAACTACAAGTCTCTGTAGCCCTGGTCATGTAAACCAGGGATCGTGAGTTCAATCCTCACAGGAGGCAGATTGTGGTATAACTTTTTTTATTTTTTAACATGCAGATACTTTTTACGCTTTTTACTCTTAATTCAATCATTCTGTTAATACTTTAAATTTTATTATAATTTCATTTTGAGGACATTATTTATGTCTGATTATTCGACCATCTAATACTGTAATATAAACTCTTTATAATTAAAAATTATTTTCTGCTTTTAGTTCGGTCAGCTATAAAAGCGGGTTTTTTTTAGTTTTTGTAAACTATTATTCATTTCATAAATGACCTAGACCATTTTATTGAGCTTCTGCCTATTAAATATGGGTTCACATCTACTGCAGAGTCAAGATAAGCAGTCTATTCAGCATTTTCGCATAGTCTCATTTACTTATTGGCTTTAGAAAAAATCTAGTTGATCACTGAAAAAAATGGATTTGTAGGAAAATTGCTACATTCTTCACTTAGAATATTTGTTATGCAGCTACTTACCACTAATCCTGTCCAAAACATTGTGGTACCGGTCTACGAAGAGTTTTGCTATACTGGCCACATCCTGTAAATAAAAATAATAACATTACAAATTGCTGAACCGTCAATAATATAAAAGGCCATAAAAAGTGCAAGTACGAGTACAAAGGTGCAATATGTTGGTCATAAAAAAGTTTGCTATTGAGCCGTATTCATAACAGAGAAGCACATCCTCGGAAGCATAAGGTAAAAGTATAAGGTCTTGCTTCGGAGAAAAAGGCAGACGTATAAGCATATCCTTGTTTTCATATTCATAATGATTACCTTATACTCGCGAGGATATCCTCCAAGAAGAAGTAAAAGGTTAACTGTTATTTGTATCTTGAGCGACATGTCCTGACTTGTTCCAGCTTGTAGTTGACGTGGGTGTTCGTTCACTCAGCATCACTGGCAGTTGTACTCCAGAGCTTACACAGACCGTTCCGTATTTTCACTGGATACAGTTTTCTATCAAATTAATAAGCATGTCATCCTCAAGTGATGAAGAAACTATAGAAAATAATGGCAACGACCTGCAGTTCGTCGCAGATGAAATTGCCATTGCTCAAATTATTTTGCAAAAGTCACAATTTCCAAAAATAAGAATTAAAAAGGACGATGCCTTGAGGAAGATGTTGAAAAAAAAGGAATCAACATTCGGTAAACCATTAGATACTAAAGGCTTATCAAAAAAAAATCAACAACATGAAATCAAGATTGATGAAAAAACCGATCTAAAAAAAAACTGGTAATAAAGCAATTAAATTGTTAGATTGGGAAAGAAAGTTGCTGAAAGCTGTGGAAGGTGACTGTAATCCTACAATTGGGAAAATCAGAGGTGCCATTCACGTTGGTAGTGTTCAAGAAGAAGGGTGTGAACTATACTAAGTGACATATAAATCCGAACACCCAGTTTAAATGGTTTAATTTTAATAAAATTTTGTATAAGTACTTAATAAGTAAATGATAAAAATTTCAAAATGATTGCACTGCTTTAAAGCCCTTTGACCTTTAATAATGTGTGGATGCACCCTGATGTGCTAGGCATTCTCCAACGCGCCTAGGCATGCTTCTGATCAGGTGGTCAATGTCCTCCTGTGGTATCTCATTCCAGGCAACCACCAACTCCTCTCGAAGTCCTTCTAGAGTCTGAGGAGGACGTTGCAAATTGAGCAATCTCCTACCCATCATATAACACACGTGCTCAATTGGGGATAAGTCGGGAGATCTTGGTGGCCATGGTAACAATGTGACATCATTATGTTGAAAGAAGTCTATTGTGACTCTTGCAACATGTGGTCGGGCATTATCTTGTTGGAAAGTTGGATCTGCCAGGGTGTCAAGATAGGGTAAAAGATGGGGTTCTAGAACTTCATGGATATAACGCTGCGCATTCATGTTACCTCTGATGAAGATTAAAGGTGACCTGGAACCATAACCCAAACCATAACTTCAACAGTGTGATGAACATGTCTTTCAACAAAAACTGTGGATTCCTCCTTTCACCACGTCGCCTTTTAACCCTGGCACGACCATCGTGCATGCCTAAACAAAATCGAGACTCGTCACTAAAGACAATAGTGTTCCATTCCTGATCCCAGAGTGACCGTTGTCTGCACCACTCAAGGCGATTACGTCGGTGTTCTCGAGTTAAAGGGAGGACCCAGTGTGGCCGGTATGAAAACAAGCCAAAACTCATTCGTCGGTAAACACTTCGCATGCCAATAGGTCTTCCGTGTTCTGCAAACCATTCATTTGCAGTGGACCTGGTAGTGGAGAAACGGTCCCTTAAGGCCAATAATCTTAGGCGGTGATCTCCACGGTCTGTTGTTCTACGACGGCGTCCAGCGCCCCTTGCTCTTTGCGTACGGCATTCTCGAAGCCATGCCTGACAACACCTAACCACAGTGTCTACACTCCTTTGCACTCTAACTGCAATTGCCCGAAAAGAAAGTCCAGCTTCCCGGAGTCCCACTATACGGCCCCTATCAAACTCACTAACTTGACGACATCGTACAGGTCTCCGTACTCTAGGCATCGTAACCGATCGTAAAGGATGTCAAGAACCAAAATCCGCCAACGTTGATTCTTTACTGCGGCTGAAATATTCATTTTTAGAGCGTTAGTGAATTAAAAAAAAGCAGTATAAAAACCGGAATGCCCAACTGATAAGGCTGAAAATTTTTTCACTTGTTATTTACAGTAAGATAAATACATTCACCAACTTTTATTAAAATAAAACCATTAAAACTGGGTGTTCGGATTTATATGTCACTTAGTAAATATACCGAGCGCAGTGAGCAAACAATTAGTATAGTATTACAGTGCCAGCAATTCAGAAGACATTACCATCAAAAAGAAAATTAGCAACAGAGAAATACGAAACTGAGGAAACCAACGGGTTAACTACAAAAGAACTGCAACGTCTAGTGCGAAGAGTGTTATAAAACGAAATTAGAAATGATGCAGCGTCAGAAGCCACCTGTAACTTATGATGTTCACGAAAATAAAACTTACTATAACTTATGAATACAATTTAATCAGTAAAACTATTTATTATAATACTCAAGTTTATTCTTATTTGTTGACCTAGTTGGCGGAGAGGAAGTTCGTCATTCTCATGATTTCCTTCATCTTCATCTGGGTGTTGTTCAACTAACTCAAAGTCAGGATCGCCCAAGCTGTTCGCAACATTATGGAGTACAATACAAGCAATAATTATTTTCGGCACATTTTCCAACTTTAAGCGGCAAACATACTGTAGGATAGGAAACCGGCGTTTCAGTTGGCCGAAACAGCGTTCAATTGTAACTCTTTCTTGTTTTAAAAGATTATTATAGTTTATTTCTGCACCTGAAGTAGGATTTATGAAGAGAGTCATAAGGCGTGGCTCAATACCATGACCGTCATCGCCAAGTAGTACAACATTTGCTTTATTTATTAGTTGTGATCTGGTCTGTGAATTTCTCCATATTCTGGAATCATGCACTGATCCAGGCCAACTGACATCAACACTTGTGAACATCTCTCTGGCATCACAAGTGGCTTGGACATTTAAAGTGGGTTTCTCTTTTCGGTTCATATACCTCCATGGCGATTTGGTTTCAAGATTTCTATATGTGTACAATCAATTACACCAATTGCTTACGGAAATTTATACATGCTTTGCCATACCCGCTTGGCATCCATCAGTTTATGGTTGGTAGTTGGAAACTTAATCCATTCGTTCGACTGTGCAACCATGCTGTTCACAACTCTATCCACAGTCCGAGATACCGTTGTTCGATTAACACCAAGTTCCTGACCAAAACCTTGTTGATATCCAGGGTCACCCAGATAGCGTAGACATATCTTCATTTTATGAATACATGAAAGTGCTCCTCCTCGAGTTTCCTCATTCTCAACTAAAAATCTGTCCGCAAGCCATTGTACATTTGCTTCGTCGAACCGATATAATTTTTTGAAGTCACAACCAAGTGAAGGTAAACGAGGTTTGTACGTTTTAACATCCACAATTTCCGCCATCATCGTTTGACCACCCTTCGTTACGAAGTTGAGTCTGCTACTGACCACACTCATAATTTTTGAAGGATATGCTTCCAATGCCAAGTATAAGGTGAAGATTATGAATATCCTTTTACTTATGTCACTGCTTTGAAGGATATGCTTATACTCAAAAAGCAAAAGTACAAGGCTATGCTTTGTTTTATGAATACGGCTCATTGTACCCTCTGATTCTGTAGCACTTAGTAATTAGGGTTCCTGTCTCCGCTGTTGTATTCTATGAGATATCAGCAAAGTGAAGGAATAAATTCGTTCAAGACGCATTTTTACGTCAAGAAATTCACCTTTAGCTAAAAATATGCCCAGATCTTACATAATACTCAAATTGTGCGTATCCTAAACATACGTAGATTTTACGATACATGTTTCAATGGAAACTAGTACTTGCTAGCACGTGGATGTTTTGTAAAATTATGCGAATTTAGTTTAATCAACTACGTCTATATGAAAACCTCATTAGCAGTTGGAAATTTTTCTGGAATCCTAAGTTAACCTTTTGGAATTGGCGTTTATTGAATCTATCTATTGGAGTCAGCTTTGCAGCAGCATGGCTTCTAGATCTATCTGGAGTTTGGATTGAAGGAAGGGTAACCAGCCAATATTTAGGTCCAATTGGGCCTTTTATACGTCCTGGGAATGCGAATACGAATATCTACTGCTGAATACCGGATTGTGCGAATATTAGTTTTTCTTTTCTATCCACCACATCAAGGCATACTTGGAAAGAAGACTGTGTAGCTTTTACTTTAGAAGTTTGATATTCGTCCAGTTCAGCTTGATTACTGAACTGATGTTTAAAAAAAAACAAACAAGTATCAAGTCTGTAAGAAGATGTTTTGCTCCATAATAAATTAAAAAAATTTCATGTCACGACCCAGGTTAAATCAGACATGGCAGAAATCTACTGATTTGACAGCCTCATCACTGTTTCGGCTGTCTCACTTCACTAACCAAGCGAACGAAAGTTAAGAGAATATCTGAATTTTTATGACACCAAGTAAAACATATATGAATAATAAAAATGTTGTTTGTCTTCGTCGAACAAGCTTTTCTGGAAAGAAATAAACTAGTATTTCTTGTTTTATTAAAGCACGTAATATTATTGTAATCTCGAAAAGTTTTAAATATGAGATTTATGTTTTTTGGATAATCTCGTCATTAATTTTAGCCTATTTATTAAAAATTATATATACGTTATATATATATATATATATATATATATATATATATATATTTATTGTGAATCTAATAGACATTTAATAATTTTAATTAAATTATTAATATTTTTGTTTCTCTTTCACTGTATGTATTTAATGAATACCTAAAATTTTCTGTATATTTAGAGCTTTGTGTTAATCCAGTAAGGGCATCGATATTTCAATTAAATATTGAATACTTCTTTATATTGCTTAGAATTTATCTTTTTATATATTATTTAAACTTTAATACATATATATATATATATATATATATATATATATGA